ACCTCTCTGCATTTATTCTTACCTGTATCTGGGAAAGAAAAGAATAGAGGGAACATGATCCACCATGAACTCCCAGGGGAGGTCATTACGTGCAACATTCACCCTATGCAAAGGAAAAACAAAGCTGTGATCACTTTTGTTTTCTTCAAAAATCAGGGTCACACTGCTAATATTCTCTCGTATGCTTTACACGCTCAATAAAATAAATATATGGGAAACTGTTTTCAGGTCATCCGGCTTCCGAAATGTTTTTAAAATATGCTTTTTGTTACATTTCAAAACACAGACACCTCAAATCACACAGTATACACTAACCTGACACTTTATTAGGTACACCTTGCCTTAATTCTTACTCAGACTATCATCAAAGGTACACTTACAACTGGGACTGCAGAAAAACTGTAAACACAGTAACTGTACCTGGCCACGGTGATGGTGCCATTTCCCTGTAATAATCTGGCCAGCTGGATGATGATGTGGTTGAGAACAGAGCAAAATCCACACCACTGAGTGTAGTAGAACAGCAGCACGTCCTACAACACACAAATTGGCATCATCAGGAGTTTAGCAAACTACCTGCTTCCATAAGTAGAGCACACAGCGTACTAAGCCTCCATTAAAATCACGCTTGCAGCTGTAAAAAGCAGCTGTTTTTATATTTTAATGTTTTTATTTTTAGGTGCATGGAAGTTGCTTTACAGAAATTCAGAATTTCACAAACTGCCTTGATTTGCTGAGGGTGTTGCAGAACGCTTAGTCACCTTTTGAAGGTCCATGACGGAGGGCAGGAAGGAGGAAGTGGTCAACTCTGTGATGAGGAAGCGTGGAGGTGACTGCGTGTGTTCGTCTGAACGCATCGCCTCCTCTTCAGCTCCCTTCCTGTCCTCCTCTCCAACCAAGTGTCTCTGCAAGAGGCTGTAGGGAGCGCTGAAGTTCCTGATGAAGGCCTCTGCAATGAAACGCACAACATGAACACAGAATTAGCCCAAGAATACGATTCAAGTACACCATCATGCATCTGACTGTCATGGAGGGAACAAATGTACCAACCAAAAAGGAGACAGGTTTGCATATATGTCACATCAGCAGATAAGGTGAAGGTTCAAAAAAAGCAGGCCAAACAAAGCTCTGTTTTCATCAACTCAAAAACCCCCAAACTCCTGAAAGGCAGATCAGAATCAGTGCAATCACATGTCAGCCTGAGTTAAGTGTCTGTGTAATAAGACAAGCCCCATCAACAGAGCTGATACCACCATTCACCAGAACACAACCTCAATTAATCCTATGAACTAAGGAATAGAAAGGTGTGACAATGTGGACCATGACATTTCTCTTAAACAACAAGAGAACCAGACACTATTTCCCCAACTTGAATTTTCACTAGAAGAAGCTGGAACTCAACCCAGCGCCCTCATTATAATTTTGATTTATCAGCCACTAAATGTTTGACTTTTAGTCATTAACCTGACTTGTCATGTGAGATAATATGACTGTTGTGATTTCTTTCAGTATTTCTAAATATCAGACATTGTAGTGAGAGAGCCGCTTGAGTCTATTTTGAGTAGAGTAAGGAAGAGTATCTTTTAAAGAAAGTGTTACAGGCCAACTTCCTGCAAACCAGACGGCCAAAGTTCAATGATTTTTATAACTATTATGCCGACTTCACACTGTATCTGGCCAGATGTGTGCATGCACCATCACAATGTCATCAAGGACAGATGACTCGTCTTTACAAAGGCACTAAAGACATTTGTAGAAACCAGTGTCTGACTGATATATTGAGGGTGGATATTTTCGGCTAATATTAACTATTTGCCAGTGTCAGTATCACCATTTATGACGGCCAATGAATGAAAATTAAAAACGCCAAGGAGACTTGAATAACAACCTTCAACCATGTTATGAGTGTTGCCACTGTATAGTTTGTCTAACAGAGGGCACTCCTCCTGCAGCTTCCCTGTTGGCAACACACACAACAAACAGCTGATCTGAAAACAATTAAATTTTATTTATATGGTGCTAAATAACAACAGTCACCTCAAGGCGCTTTTTATTGCAAGGTAAAGACCCTACAATAACACAGAGAAACCCCCAACAATCAGACAACTCACTTTCAGCAAGCAATTGACGATAGTGGGAGACTAATAATAACTAAAGATTAAATGCAGAGTGGTGTATAAACACATAGTGGGTAGAAAAGGATGAGTAAAGAAAAAAAAACACTCAGTGCATCATGGGAAACCCCCAGCAGCCTAGACCTGTTTGAGAAAAACTAAGGGAGGATTCAAGGTCACCTGATCAAGCTCTAACTACGTGCTTTATCAACAATCAAAGTTTTAAACCTTTTTAATCTTAAAATTAGAGAAGGTGTCTGTTGGCTGCATCCAAAGTGGGAATTGGTTCCACAAAGAAGGGTCCAAAAACTGAAGGCTTTGCCTCCCATTCTACTATTAAATATGCTGGGAACCACAAGTAACCCACTAGTCTGAGACCGAAGAGACACAATATGGGATTTTGAAATCACCAGATGCCTTAAAAATTGCGAATCGTTTGAGCTCCCAGCTTTTGGGACAAAACAAAACCAGCCCGTGTTACATGAATGAAAGTTGTCCATGTCTTACCCAGAGACTCTGTTAGTGTGGCTGCTGGAGTGTGCTGAAGAACATAATGAACTTCATCCTTCAGGTTCACAATAGCAGCAAACGACCCGTCACCGCTCCTATCATCTTCTTGCTCAAGAGAAGCACTTCTGTTGCCTGATGCTCCGAGCCTGACTGCCAGAGGCCAGTTCAAGGCAACATCCAGCACATAAAACCTGAGTGTCCTGTTGGTTTGACAACGGAGCCCAGTGATGCCGTCTCCCTCCGGCTGACGGACAGAGAATGGAGGGATCAAGGAAGGAGGAACACTTTGCATCTCTGACTCCTCTTTGGCTTGTGATTCATTGAGCTGAGGTTCTACTTTTCTGCAGCAGGCACTGTATTGACTAAATGGGCTGTAGCTGTCCAGAAAATTGCTACAGCCCATTGAGGTTGCACTATTAATGGACACGGGGGAAGGGAGCTGGTGGAGGCAGCAGCGTCTGAGATAAGTCTGAAAAATGTCTCCTCCCTGGATCGAGGGAGGGAACAAGCAGTGCAGAGGTGAGGTGGCGAAGCTTGGCCACGAAAGGCTGAGGCACACCTCACACACGCTTGTGCTCGACTGTGGGAGCACAACTGACTGGCAGCACAGTGAGCGGAAGGAGAAACTTTTGTCCCAGCTGGAGTGGTGGCTGTTGTCACAGGAGTGGTAACGCACAGCAATGTCTGCAACCTAGAAAAACAAAAAGGGGTAAAAATTATTTAATCTGCAGAACTTAAGGAGAATAATACAGTGTTTAACAACACAATTAAAGAATATACACATAAAAATAAGTTCTAATATAAAAAGCACCTGAGGAGGAGGAAGATGTCTCTCTAAAGGGCTCACAATTAAATGTCCAATTGGAAAAGCCTTCAAAGGGTTAGGGTCATAACATCATGGCCACCTCCCTAATATTTTGTTTGTCCCCATTCTGCTGCCAAATCAACCCCTGACCCATCGAGACGCTTAGACCCAGTCGTATAGCCATCACCATGTCACCCTTTCAAACTCCCTCAAATCCTTATGCTTGCCCGTTTTCCTGCTTCTTACACTGTAAAAGTTCCCTTTACCAGCGTACTTAATATTTATTTAAGTCTCAGTTTTTTTTGTTTGTTTTTTTAAATACAGGGCAGCTAAATGAAGATGGGTAAGTTAGATAGGATTAGCTCAGTGTATAATAATAGTATAGCTGCAAATCAAATCCGTAAGAGAATAAAGCATTTCTATCATTTCGAAAATGATATTCGTCTAATTTGTTTCTGCTCACCTGCCGTAGCGCAGGGCTGGGCTGTGATCCCAGAGGATCGTGCGGCACAAACAGCAGCAGTGCAGGGCCTTTAGTCAGCTCCTCTTCTAACAGGCGAGACTTTGTTCCCGGGGGCTGTAGCCACTGGAGGACCGTCTCACGGTTTTCAAACACCCATCTACAAATGGCCTCAGACGTAAAGTTAAGGTCGTTCCTGGGGAAAATCTTAAACAACAGATGAATAAACATACAGCATCGTAAACATCCACAGTTTTAAAGTCATTAGTGTTTAATTGCATTCTCTAGAAGAACCACATCTACAACATGTGTTGACGCTGCTTACCAAAGAGGAGTTAAATCTTCTGTGGAGAAAAACCGTTTCATCCTCTGTTAGTGAGATGGCTCCTGCCACCTGCTTGTTGGTCACGACCCCAAAACGTACAACGCCACGGAAATCTGCACCATAAAAAAGAGAAACTTGTGACTTCAACCATTTATGTTCCCTTTAGCGTAAAATGCACATTTGGGTTCTCTCTGCTTCAACAACTGCTATCTTTTCGTCAACAGCAGCCTCTCCTCGAATTCTAATCCCATGCTTGACAAGCCAAAACGTTTATCATGTTAACAATCAGCCTTGAAGCTGTGTGATTACTTCTTACCCCTTTTTAGGACCTGCAGGGCAGAGGACAGAAATGTGATGTATCCTGGCGGCTGGGGGGAAGAGTTAAACTGGAAGAAACCCACCACTCGAGGCTAGAAACGCACAAGACGCAGATCATTACAGTTGGCTACACTCTGTGGGTGCTTCAGTGACAGAAGTGTAAAGCTCAAATATACCTCATGATAGGAGAGGAACTCTTCAACATGACCTCTTGATGGGAGGTAAGTCAGTGGTGTGATGACTCTGAGTACAAAACTTTCTATGTATGGAGCCAAAAATGGGCCTCTATACTCTATTGGCCCAAACCTGTGGAAAACACAGAGGTACGACAGATGCTAATAAATATCAACAAATCATAATTAAATTACAATTAAGAAACAAAACATTCAAAGTGTTTCCCACAGTTTTGTATTAAAATACATCTTTAGCCTCTCTAAATATGCGCGTCTATGACTGAAGTTGTGTATGAACAGCTAAATACAAAAGTAAATAAAATATTATTTCATTCATAAAAGAACAAACAAAACATACTGATTGCTTAAACTCATACATTTCATCGTTTCTGGACATGAGCTCATTTTGAATTTGATGGCAGCAACAGGTCTCATATTAGTAGGATGGGGTCAACAAGAAGCTGGAAAAGTAAGTGGTACTAAAAAAAACCAACAACAACAAAAACATTTTGTAATCTGCTTAATTTGCAATAGGTCAGTAACATGATTAGGTATAAAAGAAAGAGCATCTTAAAGAGGCAGAGTTACTATTCCTATGCTATTAAAACTTCTGAAATAATTTTTCTCTACATAATACTGTGAAGACTTTCACTAGCCCACCCTCTGCAGGACATGATACCCTCAAAAGATTCAAAGAATCTGGAGAAATCTCTGTGTGCAAGCGAAACGGCCAAAAATCAATATTGGATGCTCATGATCTTCAGGCCCTCAGGAGGCGCAGCATTAAAAACAGGCATGACTCTGTCAAAGAAATCAATTTCATGGGCTCAGGAGCACTTCCAGAAATCACCGTCTGTGAACACAGCTCGGCTGTGCCATCTATCATGCAAAGAAGAAGCCACATGCAAACATCGTCTTCTCTGAGCTAACGTTTATGGGGCTTCCCAATTCGTCTTTGTCTGCTAAAGCTGTTGAAAGCAAATTCCCACCATAAGTGAAGACAAGCCCACCGTCTCACCTTCTATAAAACAGATGGATGACGGGGTAGTGATAGAAGCGGTTTTGCCTCCTGCATTTCCCCTGACTCCACCAGCAGTTAACAGCCACAAACTGCACCTGTGTTTGTGTGTTTGAAGAGACACATTAAGAAACAAAGATAAGCAAAACGATGTGTAGACTACACACAAAACAGTGTAAAATCACACACTGTAATGACTCATGTACTTAACAAACAGGCCCAAAACAAGTCGACTATGAATTTGCGTTTGAGAGAGAGACACAAGCTAAAAATGTGTGAGTGTGTATTTAAGCTGAAGGGAACAGATTTTATTAGCTCAACTATATCAGAGTCACTCTTTACTGCAGTCTGTCAAGCTGCTCCTATAAACTCTTCCCAACACTTTGCATAACAAGCGATAACATAACACGCGTCCACGTAAGAACAATCCCCAGCTTCCTTAGTCTTTGCCCAAGTAAAGCACATCTAAATATTTGATGTTTAAACAATCCTGAGTGGTGGAGGTTCCGTTCACTTGTACCTGTTTGGCCAGCTTCTTAGCGACCTGCTGCACTTCCTGTCGCGCAGCCATAGAGTGAGCACACCATGGTGCATAGAAGAAAATAAAGGACACCTCGGCCACACTCCTGAGACGCTCCACCTGTGAAGAAAAAAAACCTTTCAATCTCACAGAGCACCACAAGTTTGATGACAACAATGCCAAAACATTTAACTGGAGCTTTAGAAACCCTCTTAGCTCTTTCCATGTATTCTCTTTTACAATTTGAGCAAATGAAGTATCAAACAAAGGAAAATACAGTGAATGCCATCAAGTCTAAATCCTTGAATCTCACCTGGTCAAGCTGACCCAAGTAGAGATCCACCACCGGGGCGTCAGGAGAAAAGAAACGCACCGGAGGCCGAGCTGCTGCCACCACATTCTTAGCACGACTACAGAAATAAATGAGAAGATGAGAAGAGTAACGCTGAGGGGTGCAAAGAGATCACAGTCACATAATAAGATAATATGCAGCATATGTAAAGAATTCAAACAGGTTATTAAATCCATAAGCTATAACTCTGTGTCACTTCCACGAGATTCGCTGATCATGGCAGTGCGTCCATCATTGGTTGATGTTAGTGCTACAGCAACCTCCAGCCTTGCATACTACGCTGAGTTGCACATATTGGAATATGCATGTGTTAAATTTGGAAAATGAGAGTAGAAGCAATGCTATTTGGAAATGGAGGGTATGCTAAGCTGATGTATGAGGGGAGGAAAGGCTATATGTTTGCGTCCACAGAAAGCAATGTGAAAAACTGTGCCGTGTTAAACATTCTGCCTCCCCCAGAGGCTATGCAAAAATGTCTCTACATCGTTACAGGGGGAAGAAAATTACCTCAACATGACGAGAAGCAGAATTTGCCTGGTATAATTTGCGTGGAGTCGGTTTCAAGTTTCAGTCTTTGTGGCAATTATCGTCTCAGCTGGGTTTTCGAGAGGACGACTGAGTAACTGCTTAGCCAACAAGTCAATCGTTCAGCAACAGTTGCTACTCTTTTACACAACTGAAGGATTTCAGCACTTTCATTCACCATAACTGAATGACAAGTGGTATAAGCTTTGAAGAACCTTAAAGTTGCAGAGGCCAAAGCTGCAAGATGATGACAGCACAGTGTGTCAGGGCTGTAACCAGATATTACTATTTAAACATTAATGATCTTATTATGATCTCCCTGCAATATTTTCTGGGTTTTATCTGAGAAAACTGTAAAAAACGCCCAACATTTCCTTGAAAAGT